TGTTTCATGGGTATCGTAGCCCCATATTTCTCTTTCGAATGGTGAAAACCGCACCTCTCTATCTATCACCGTTCCGGAGCTATAAGGTCAACACTGACCGGCCATTCTATTTTGAAATGGATAGTAATTTTTTGTACTATACTGTTGTATTCACGTATTCTTAATAAAAGTATAAAATCAATGTGGTTTCTATTAATTTGGGAACAGTGCATGTCGCAAAGTGCAATTTTTTGTGGACATCCGTTACTTTGATAGAACCAACTAGGACTGTAAAAGTTCCCGTTACTTCTTCGGCCGTTATCGACAACGCTAACTGAAAAGACAGTTAGCGTTAAAATAACGGTAACTGTCTTTTCAGTTATCGTTATTTACTGTGTTTCCAGTTATCACTGAAATAACGGTAACTATCAGTTAGTTAACTTTGTGGTAACTATTTTTTAAGTATGACAAAAACATCCACGCAGCGACTTAAAATGGCTTCCAGAATCGTTAGTTTTTCACTAAAATTGTTGCAACTTTCATAAATGACATGGTTTTGCATTCTAATTTCGTTGATGAAAACAAAAAGTTTTCTCAAGTTGGCTGTAGATGCTGAGATGTCCAAAGACCTTAAAAACCGCAGTTACAAAACATTGAGTTTATATAATTTCGATTAGTTTACTTGACTGGCACGTGTGTGCCAATCAGAACCATGTCATTTATGAAAGTTTCAACAGTTTTAGTGAAAAACTAAAGATTTTGGAAGCCACTTTAAGTCGCTGCGTGGATATTTCTGTCATACTTAAAAATTAGTAACCACAAAGTTAACTAACTGATAGTTACCGTTATTTCAACGGTAACTGGAAACACAGTTAGCTTTGTTTCGATGGTAACTGTATTTTCAGTTACTGGTAAATCAACGCAACGGAAACTTTTACAGCCCTAGAACCAACATCCTCTGGAAGTTTCGTCCAGATCGGCCTTGTATTTACTGAACTCAACTTCTGACAGGAAAGTAGGAGGCTTAGGTGATGTTTTTATAATAAATTTTTACCAATGTTTTTCATCATAGTATTCATCATAATATTTGAAAATTGTTTGGTGCTTTATAGAAATGTGTAAAAGAGAAAACTAATTATCTGCAATACAATTCTTGGTAAAAAATACAGAAAAGGTGAACGACGATCATTCTCTACCATTTGTCCTACTAAAACAAAGTCTAAACTTGTCGAAAATTAACTTTACAAACATATTTTATTCTACTCGAACTTTGTCATTGCTCCTAACCCAGTAAGTATTGTTCATTGATGTTTTCTTTATGTGTTTTCTTTATTCTTGCAGTTTGGTATAAGACATTTGATCTAAAATATTCATTCATCATGAATGTCTCCATCTACTTTTTTGCTTTACAATACGATACGTACGTCATTAAGTGTGGCTTTTATTGCATTAAGTGCTTCGGTTACTTCTGTCATGTCTTCTCGTAATTCTCGTATTTCATCATTCAATTGACCTTGCGTCTCTTTCCCAGTCTTATCTGTTGTATTTTTTTCTTGACTACTTTCTTGATTAATAACCCTACATTAATCAAATAACAATATGCAGTTCAGCAGGATGAACTCGAGAAGATACAAAACACATACCCTTTTCTAGCCGACTGATTAATAGTAGCATCGGCTTTATTATGTGCATATTCGTACGTTGAAGCACCTTCAAACTCATACCAGTATTGTTCTACTGCTTCCGTTTCAGATATCATTTCTATATATAGAAGAAAATTGAAGTCATCGTTTTTTAAACTTTATCACTTTCCGGTCGCGCATACAAAAGAAGCACGCCTGCAAACAGATCAATTCAAGACTCACTAAATGTTTTTCTTGGTTTCGTTTGTCCGTCACACTGTTTCAAACACCAGCAAACGAACATTCTTATCAATTCATAAATATCGAAAATAATATTGAATGGAGCAAATAAGGGTGTTCTATCGAAATATTCACGAATGAATAAATAACGTTGATAATTCCAAATATTATGTGTGTCTTCATGAACAGCGTCATAACGTTTACTAAAAGCAAAAGATGAGCAACAACTCCAACAAGAAGATGTCTTTATAGCTTGGAGAGTACAAAAAAGTCTGCCTGCTTGTGAACATACGTGTAGACCTTATTCTGCTATATATTTGTAAGAAATTTACATACTTGAAAAGTGCAATTAATAAATTGATAAGTAAAATATTGATGAATAACATATGAAATGCCAGTAGAACATGAGTTGCAATAGACCAACTGGCATCAGGAGAAGCTAAATATATTCGTTCCGCATATTTTCACTCTCGTAGAATATTGTGAAACTATTACCATCTAATGCGTCTGTTTCATTTCTAAAGTTTCCATACATGAGATAATAAACTGGATAAATAACATTTCTGAAGATGTCTCGCCCATCAAAACCAAATGTTCCGTAGTATGACATTGATCGAGATGTCACACCATATGCAGTCATAATGAGAATTATCAAAACCATAAAGAAGAGTAAATCACGTAGCTAAAGATAGATGAATGCACCAGACATCAATCTACCAGGTGCGATAAAAACAACTACAAACCATTTTTCCAATAGCAACCAAATGTGGACCAAGAAAGGGGACAACATTTATAAACCCCAAAGCTCGAATAAACCATATCTCCAGATCGTATGCTAAAACAATTCTGTGGAGGAGAAAAAAAAACAGAAAATAATGTGATGAAAGAAGCTGATCTCTACCTAGCTGCAAAGAAACTGTCTGAAGTTGATGCATCTTGAAAACGCAGAATAAGCCCAATATAGTATAGAACAAATGCAATAAATCCAAGTTGTTTGAAAAAATGTGTAAAATACATATCACATTTTCTAAGGAAGGAGGTGTTGTCTTGTGCGACAAACTACAAAATAAAATTCAAGTACCAGTGAATATAAGTTTGTGCAAGTCTTGCTCACATATCGAATTTCTTCGATTAACATGCATGAAACAATGATAATAACAAGAATTTCTGTCCAATGAATCGAAGGAAATCGATTTTCAGGCGGTTCAAATGCAAATAACATGAAGTAACTGAAGAATAGGAGAAATACGATGTAATGAACCTAAACGACAACAAATAAATGCTTTGGGCGTGCTGAGAATTGAACAATTACAAATAGTTACACAATGATACAAATATTTAATTTGCAATGATTGATGAAAATTCACAAGCCGATGCCAAGCTCTATTTATATTTGGTTCTTGAAATCGTTTTGGATATTCAGCGGCATATTCATCCGAGTAATTGATACCGTACGTTTTCAATCTGAATATGTGAACATGTTGTTTAATGATAGACATGTTCACAATAATAGTCGCTTACTTTTGTTCGACATTTTCATCTTTTAATTTCTAGAAATGAAAAAAACGTGAGTACGTTTAGTTGTAGCGGATATCGTATCACATACATTCTTTCTATATTGAACAATGAATGGTGCTAATAAGCCAAATGTGAGAAAACCAACTAATAGCTGTACTTTATTTCGTTTCTTTGACTGATCAGGCTGCAATTTGTCATACCAGATATTTGCCATTGTATGACCACAACACGGTTGACCAACAAATCGTTTGCTGTCAGCTGCGACGGCAACCTTAATGTAGACGAGCAAGTGAATCACTTAGTAGACATTGCCATCCTAGTTGACATTACTTGAAGACATGTGACATCGCCGAAAAGTGCAATTTGTTGTACGATAATTTCACATGATGTCCCCGGCTTATTTATGTGACATAATTCTAGGCAATCAATAGCAAATGTTTCAAAATAATCGATTTGCTCGGTTAATTTTTCTTTTACGTCGCGGTGTGTGGCAATACGGTCACGATACGCTTTTAATATTTTTGTTGCTAGTAGAGCTGAACATATTCGGTACTTCATGTGTGAGAGTAATATTTTTGCCATATCGATGTAGTTTACTAAAATCGCCCATAGAAATAAGTCACGAAATACATAATCTTGAACAAGTTTACGTTCACTTTCATTTTTAGTTGACGAGGTAGTTGTTTGTCCTTCAATTTCTACCAAATTCTTCTTTTTACTCAGATATGGACGACGTTCACGTTTTTCTTCGTCATACGTTTCATAATACAACGGTTTCATGTAATCACCAACTAATATTTCTAAAACTCGATTTAACTCTTCAGGAGATTTTAGCACTTTCTGCTTGGTCAAATCTTCTTGTATCAATATATTTGAAAGCAAACAATTATTCCCATTCTAAAAGAAATAGACACTGTATCTTAGACAATATTATGTCAATCAGTTAGATCACGTACTATTATTTCCGTTGTGTAGAGTTTCTCAATCAATGTATCATAAATAATGCCATCTTTTTTATAAAAGTTTGGATACAACACTTCATCTATTCGCATTTCAATTTTTATAAAAAAATGTACAAAGTTGAATAAATTTGCTGTTAATGCTTTCAACAGAATAAATTTTTTATCCTAAACATAAATAAATCCAACCGATGCCAAAGTTCGACAGCATCACGGTTCGCTTACGGGTATGTTGCTTAGAGATTGTTGAATAATCAATTCTTTGGCTACCTCGATACAATTCCAATCGAGAGCCAATGCTAATAATTGTTGTTTCTGTACATCTTGCTCCGATTTATTCTTGGCCTTTGTTTTGGATAGATCTCGATTTCGTTCCGATTCATTTAGGTTCTGATGTTTTCCCAATTGTTTCTGTTGTTTTTTTAACTGCTGAGTTTCTAGCTTCTCCAGTAGTCGTTGACGAGCTATATAAATACGGAAATGACGTGACACAGATAGAGAGATGCATGTGCTCACACTCACATTCAAAAATACTTCTAAATATGGTGTCTGATAAATCGCTATTGTCATTAAGATTGAATATTGTGATTCTGTTTCGAATTGCTGGTTGAAGACAATACATTACTCGTAAAATAGCTTGTTGTACTTTTTGTTCAAAATTTTTTTTCAATGAGACATCTGCATCTTCAGCTTCACGATGTAATATTTCACGAAGATTTTCTTCAATTTGTGTTTGATGGTTTTTGAATAATGCTTTCAATCTAAATGAATAAGAGAATTATTTCCAGTATTTTTTCTCATTGATAAATTTACCTTTGTTGACTGAGATCTAGTAGAAGAGTTGTTGTACCGTTTGTTCTAAATAAAGGCGCTATGTATTCCGCATAATAAAATCGTACAGATGGCCTTACTTTTCCACTCCTTTTCCATATACATCTATCTCATCAATATCTACTATTATTTTCCATTCATCCGCTTTTGCTTTACTAATGATGCCTTCTGTATGTGATATCCATCGTGAGAAAAAATTAGCAGCTCGCCCACTACCCTAGTAAACAAGATGTACATACAACAATCGAAGTATTCTAAAAGGAAAATCTTCTCACATCAATGATTACAACTGGAATATCGTTTTTTAGATCGTAGTACATGTTTGTTATTGTATCAATCCCTCCTTCAACAACAATTGTTACTGCTGGAACTAGACAGAAGCAAGAAAAGTCGTAAGTTATTACAAGTTGACTATCACATTTGTTACCCGGTAGTGCGGCTTGTGTGTTTGAGAGTTCAAAAAACGAATCTTGTTCGATAATCTTGGGTATCATATCGTCGAAGTGTTCCATCATCGAGGAATATGTAGTGTGTATGATTTGGTTCTAAATCTCGCTCGCCTTTTCGATGTTCATTTTCTGAAGTGTTGTTGTCTGATTGAGCATTCTGATGGTTTGCGTTCGTTAATTTCTCAACATTTTTAATACAGCCGTATTTGGGTAAGCCAATAGCCGTTATAGTACGATTAAAATTTATCAGTTTACTTTTACGAATAGCTCTACCTACGAGTTGCACAATACCGACATTGAAACCACTTGTTATTAGCCAAGCATCTAGAAACACGAAGACAGGATTTCTCTACCGTTAGTGGGCTTGACTATCGGTACTGACTTGCTTGCAAAGTGACCTCGATGAGGCCGTTAATAAATTTTGATTCTAGTCTCTCGCTTAGTTTGAAATATTTCGCACCACCAATAATACTAATCACGATACCTGGCTCCTTGATATCCCAAATACGGAGAATTTTTATCAAGTCCGATGGATTTGTACGTATATCGCATCGGACAAACTACGAATAAAAAATACAGAATTGTGTTGTCGTTTTACTATCGTCTCAATCGATCATACAATCCTCACTTAATTGTACATACTTTTGCTCCCCACTTTAATATTCCATTTTCGTTCCTCACACTCGACTTTGTATGAATATCAATATTCCAGTCTTTTTGATTCGTGCGAGGATTCTCCGAATGAAAGGTACGTGGTCGGTTACAATAACATAGATTAGGGTTGTCTCTGAAGATGTACACTAAATTGTAAAAGCAGAGTTTGCCTTTTGATAGTACTTACTCATGCGGAACATCACTCGAACATATGGGAATGTGAATGCCCAACGCTTCGAATGGATCCACATAAGGAACGGCTATCTAAAATATACGACTTTGAAGTAACTGGAATCAAAAGCCTTCTTAACTCAGACATACCGTATGGTTCTTTTGACTGTACCGTGCCATTGTCTACACGTTAAAAAAGATGCGGCCAAGATATGCTAGTACCGTCAGTACTGAAATCCCTTTAGCGTACTATAAAGATCGATAGGAACTCAACTTTTAAATACTGAAGAGATTAAAACTTATGAAATGAATAAAAATGGTCGAAGTTGAGTCACGCCATCCGTTCAACTTATTGAATAGGGAGATCAAAAACTGTAAACGGTTTGAATTGTATGTCAGCTTTAAAACAAAGAAAAAGACGTCGGTATACAATACTATATGGTTGATGTTTCTTCAACTATTGGTTTTTTTCTATATATACTTTTTTCATACAGGCGTTTTAAAGTGGTTTAAATAGAACATAACGATGTTGAAATAATGAAATATAAATTTTGAAAAAGGATTGATTGAATCAGTGCCCTTATATCATTAACCGAGCAACGTTTCTTGCGGTGAAGTAGAACAAACGAAAAGGGATACATTTTATTATTGACAAGACACCATGGTGATTATAATAAATAAGTAATAAAAAATCTACGTCGAAACAAAATGAAATCTATTTAAACTATGTACACTAACGAATTAGGATAAGTTAGCATTCTCTTGCTCCATGGCTGTGTCCATCGCATATCTTACTCAAGTTGTTGATTTTTATCAAGCAGTAAAAGTAAAGCGCTTGTTCGAACAAGTGTATTTTAAGATACATTCAGTCTTGGCGAAAACATTATTTTCAGCATGAACGGTGTCTTCTATGATAACATTTTTTCCTATCGTATACTCTATAATTTATTCATTTCCATCAATACGTTTATTCGTAGTAATCCTTGACGGATCCAAATTTAGGTGAAACGTTTTTTAGCTTAGTAGATGTGATAAACTCTTTTGTGATATTTTAAAGAATGCAAGAAAGTTTTCCAAAGTACTTTTAAGTTTAGTAAAGCTTGCAAAAGATTTTTAAAACGGTGCTATACCTTTTCCGTTAGTTGCAGCAGTAGAAAATCTTCATTCTCAATAGGTCTTTTTTTTTTGAGTGTTTTTAAACTATTCTTTTTTCCACATTCGACCGGCACGCAGACTAGAGCAACAAAGCAAAGCAACCGTTAAAGCCATCTCCTCTTCAAAATGCTAATATTTTTCAATAGTGTCGATTTTGAGATAAGCACATGGTCGAATAGTCCAGAGTATGTACTTTCAGAATCTCCACCACTTTCGGCTCTTGCAATGATTTTTCATGTTTTATTAGAAGCCTCGAAAAACAAGATTTTTAAGTACTAGCTTTTTTGTGTCAAAGGATGGAACTTAAGTATCAATGGCATTGTATCCGCCGTGCGTTCAGCTTTAAAAGTTTAACTTTGTTATGTTAAAATCTTTTATCATTGCTGAAAAAATTCATTTTTTCTAAATCAGAAGCGAAAAACTCGGAATTCTGCCCATAATTCTCAATTTTCTCGATCAGAACTCAACTTCTATCCAATAAAAATATCATATTCGGGATCAGAATCAAAAACTGATTCGATTGATATGTATTTTGAAATTTCTAGTTGACTTTCATTTTTTGGTGAAATATCAACCGACATCAGTATTTTATCCTGATCCCGAATATGATATTTTTATTGCATAAAAGTTGAGTTCTGAAAATTGAGAATTATAGGCAGATTCTCACCAACAAAAAAAATTTTTAACAAAACAAAGTTATACTTTTAAAGCTGAGCTCATGGCGGATACAATGCCATTGATACGGAAGTTCAATCCCTTGACACAAAAAACTAGATAGATTTACAAAATGAGTCATCCTTCTTTTCCAGTGGTTCATTCGAACGTCTGTGGTGGACAGACGTTTACCTTCGAAATGGATTTAATATCATTTTTTAATTCAGCTTTTATCGATGAATAAGAAAATAATAGTTTGAACGGTCGGACTAAAAAGCTAAGTCGAGGAATCTAACTTTTTCAAACATCGTCGTTTTTTCGAGTTTTAAAACCCTTCGAAATTTTTCAATTTTTCGGCACGAAAAGAAAGTTTCAAAAAACTAAAAGCTACATATTCTTGATCTGTTTGAAAACCTCTATGGAATGGTATATAATAAGTTAAAAAAATTCCGATTGAAAGTTTGTATTATGTGCATCTTACAGCGTTTTCCTTCAGCACTATTGGATCCGATTTTTGACTTGAAATGCTTCCCCAAACTAACAGAGCTCAAATGCAAAAGCAGGCTCTTGTACGAAGTAGCCATAAGTGTTAATTTCAATTCTAAAACCACTCGAATTCTCCAGCATCTATCCGGACGGAGATTTTTCGGAAATAGGAACAGTGTCAATTTATTTGTTGTAGTGATATCTCACCAGCTGAGATAGATGGAGTCAAAAAAAAAATTTCATCGCCAGACTTTGACTTGATCAATATTGCTTGAAATTTTCATAGAGATCGGCACTACAGTTACTAACATGAGTTTTTAACAGGGCGAGCCTTAACCATACATTGTTTTGTTTTGAATGATGTATTTTCTTACGTTTCGTTAGTGAGACCTTTCACACCAGCATCATTATGGTTACTGCCGTATATACCAAAAGGTCAGAAGAAAGGGCTAACACATTCGGCAAGGCTGTTTTATTTCCAAAAGTCAATTGTAAATTATAAACTATTTTAACTTTTGAAGGTGTGTTCCGATGTTGACCAGAATAATGAATGGTAGAACCTTAGACGGAAATGCCTGTAAGTTCGTTGAGACAACAAACAACTGAAACTTTCGAAATAAACCACTGCTAAAAGATCATCTATATCATTGAGAAGAAAAAACTAAGCTGAACTCATCTAGTTTATTATTTAAGTAAATTTTGTTTAGCACCAGTCCAAGAAGAAATATCAAACAGACGTGCTTCCATACGTCAGTCGCCTACAACAACAAAGTAATGTAAAGTACCATACAAGCCTATAAGCGTAAGTTTTTCTTTATTAAGAGGCGTTCTACCAGCCCAGCAAGCAAAGCTGTCAAGTGAAATTTTTTGACCTATATATTTTTTTCTATTTTTGGATTCTATGATCAAAACTGGCGTTGTGAAAAAATTCTAAGGTCGTTTGGACTTGATTTCGCCGAGTTATAGAATTTATAAATGTAGGTGTATCGAAGATTCGACGTCGGTGTTCTCCTGTACATAAATGTTGAGTTAAATTTCCGTATCTGATAAACGAAGCTACACATCTCTCTTAGGGACAGTCATACAGCTTACTTCTACTAGCCTGAGCGGCCGGTTCGACTGTAGTTGTTGTGGTAATCAAGGAACGGTCGGACAGAGATTTACGTTCTTTAGAAACTGTGGTAATGGACGACAATTGTAGCTTAGAGGGACATGGTTGACATTGTAGATGACCTATAGCTTTCGGTGTATCCAGTAATGACCATTTAAGTAATTTACTAACGCCGACGTTCCATGCCCTATGTACTCGTGAACATCTTCTTCAAACCTGAAATTATTTACAAATGTAATTTTTGGAAAGGTAACTTTTGTCGGTTTCGGATTTCTAATAAGACTACATTCATACGCCTGTACTCCTTTCACTCCTTCATATGAATATGGCCTCGACAAATTCTGCAGCATGCGTTATATTGTGTTTTTCGTTGAGATATCGTCGTACATTTGCTTTTATGACAGTTGCGTATCGGTCACATGTCGATTTTCCGGCCTGTGGATCAGAAAAATCAATACGTAGTATTTTGATTTTAGTTTTTTCAGATAACAGTGGTAAAGACAGGATTGTACCGGCAGAATGGTAATCCTGCGTTATCTGCTCGACAGTACACATATTCTATCGATGGATCATCTGCTTTAACACGTATCAATACATCTTGAAGAATGGCAACAACAGATTCATTATCCTGAACACAATAATCCGTAGCATGAACATAAACTGTATGAGTATAACTATTTTGTGCAGACATTTCTTCTCACTTCACCTTTTGTAGAGAATTGCACGCTCTACAAAACGCACTAACTTACATTTTGCGGGAAATCTACTGGACGGAGAAAAATAAAGTTTATTGGAAAAATTTTGTTTTTAAAATTACTGGGTAGGCTTCTGAAAAATCTAGTTTCCGTTCGAAAAA